ATTATTTTTATTTTCTTTTGGCTGCGTTGGGTCTTTGCTGCTGTGTGCGGGCTTTCTCTAGTTGCGGCGAGAGGGGTCTCCTTCATTGCGGTGTGCGGGCTTCTCATTGCAGTGGCTTTTCTTGTTGCAAAGCACGGGCTCTAGGAGCGCGGGCTTCAGTAGTTGTGGCACGTGGGCTCTAGAGCGCAGGCTCAGTAGTTGGGGTGCACGGGCTTAGTTGCTCCACGGCACGTGGGATCTTCCTCGACCAGGGCTCGAGCCCGTGTCCCCTGCATTGGCAGGTGGATTCTCAACCACTGCACCACCAGGGAAGCCCTGGAGTGCTTGTTCTGATGAGGCAGGCGTGGGCCCCAGGGATGGACTGCTTCTCTAGCCCTGGTCCACACGGCTAGGGTGAGTTCCTGGATGCTGACTCCCATTGTGCACTGTGGTGGGTCTGTTGGTTTGCTCTGTTAGCAGCCTGCTGAAATTTCACTTTGAGGAGTTAATAGTTATTTACTGGTTCAAGCCACGTGTAGGCACTCAGAATTGCGAGTTAGGATCAGGCCTGTGCCTTTATTTTTCCCACCTGACTGCTGGGCCTGGCAGACTTTGAGTGTTCGTTGCTGCTGTTTTGAGGGATGGGGTTTGTCTTGTTTTCTTGTTTTCTGCTCTTCTTCAGAATAACCACAGCCCGACTGGCCCTGAGTGGCGTAACCTGCCGAGGAGTGACCTTCCACGGCATTCGGTGGCCGCATCTGTGAGGATGGTGCCCGTGTGGCCTCCAGGATTCTGACTAGTGCAGATACAGTCGTTCTCTGCATGTTGAGTAGTCGGCCCTGTGTGCTGGGTTCCCGTCTGTGAATGTGAACTCACCCGTTCATTGTGTGGAGGCATAGGAGTGGGGGTCACCTTCTCTTCATGGAAGAGAAGACATTTAAGCTGAGCCTCACCTAAGGCGAGTGGGCGCTTGCCAGGCGCGTGTCAGTGCCACAGGAGGGAAGGCCAGGCTGGGGAGGGGTGGGGCGTTTGAGACTTGGAGGGTAGTTGGGGGGCACGCCATGCTGGTGGCTCAAGAGAAAGAGGAGGAGGTGTTTGACCGGAATATTCCTGCGCCAAGGCTGTGTTTGAACTTGACCCCTTAGAACACACTGGCCGTTCTCAAATTACGGTCTCAGATAGGCTACCATGAAGTAGGCAAATAAGACCAGCGTGGTAGGTTTTACATAACTTTGGTTCATGTAAATAACTGAGCATTGAGAAGAGATGGTTCCGTCTAGTGTCCAGTGGTCTTTTAGGAAATGAGTATTAGATATTGCAGTCTTTGTTTGTTTTAACGGCGTAGCAGCCCTCTGTGCAGGTAGAGGGTGGGAAGCCACGGAAGGAGTTTAAGCTTAAGTCACGGGTGATTTGAACTCTGAATTTTCAATCCATACTTCTTCCGTGTTCTTTATTACCTGTTGACTGACTTGTCGGTCCCAGAGATGTCTCAAGGTCAGTGAACTTTAACTTCGTCGTTCTCTCCCTTCCATCCCATGCTGTCTTGGTATATGGCTCACCTAGCCAGAGATGGGGGTCTCCCGTTCCCTCTCGATGCTGGCCTCGAGGTCAGCCCAGCCTCTCCCTCAGCCCTGCTTCCTGCCCAGCGCCCCCTCTCGTGCCTCTGCTGCTTCCCGTGCTCCCCCCTCTGCTGGGATGCTTTCCATCTTGTCATCCTTCTGAACACAGCCTTCCAAGATTTCTTTCCAATTCACCTTTTCTTCCAGGAGTTCTCTGAGTCGCAGAGGCAGAGTGCCTGTCCTTCTCTGCGCTGCCTCGTCCGTCCCCGGTGCCCACCTGTATTGAGGTGTGCACTCCCAGGGGCGGGGCCGCTCCTGCTGACTCTGCTTTATTGCTAGTGTCTAGAATCGTGTCCGGCCCATGGTGGGTGCTCAATTCATAGGCTTCTTCTGCTCCCACCAGACTGTGCGCTCCTTGGGAACAAACACTTTTATTACTTTTAAAATAGCTAGTGCCTAGCATGACGTAAGAGTTAGCCAGTATTTGTTGAGAATAAATTCCTCTCCTTGCCTCGTTGGAATGTCTTTTGCACAGAGACGGTCTCTGAGTTGGGGAATGTAGGAAGGAGCTCCGGTTCTGGTGTGGAATTTGGTTGCTAGCTCAGGTGTTGCATATGATAGTGTACGTAATTTATAGACAACGATTAAGTGCTCTGTCACACTTTTCCTTCTGTGCTGAACGGGCTTTTTGTGGCCACCTCTGTGTCCCAGGCCTTTGCGATTGCTCACTGCACCTTTCCTGGGCACTCGGGGCCCTTTGTCGCTCACCCCCTGCTGCTCCCCCGTGCCTCTGAACTCGTGGCACATTTGGGTGACCCCAGTTTTTTTCTGTGGCCTCCGCTCCCCACCAGCCTCCTTTCCGATATATCTTCCAAATTACGCATGTATTATGAAGATAAAAGAGTTTTAAAAATTGCTCAAAATGTGAAATAACATCATACTTCATGCTGTTTTTCAAAATAGTCCACTGCTTAATAGCTTAGGCTCTGGACCCACCTTGAGTTCAGATCTTGGCTCTACCACTCTTGAACCTCACTTTTGTCATCTGTAAACAGGAAAAGTAATAGTGCTTGAACCGCATTGGGTTATTCCGAGGAATATGTGATGAACCAAATCCTAGGGTTTAGAATGTTGCTTAGCACGTGGAGGGTAAGCCCTCGGTCCGTGTTAGTTGTCTGTGTGCTGGGGCACAGTGCTGGGGCACAGAGGAAGCAGTGTTGGACAGCTGGCGCTGTCCTAGGGTCTCCTGTCCCATGTGGCTGATGTGACCTGTGGGGTTGGTTGACCTCCCCAGCAGACCTTTCTCTCCTCTCTGTAGAATACTTAGGGAGCGTGAGTGCTCTTTGAAAGACCTTCACATCATTTTAAACTACAGTTGAAATCACATATGAGGGTTTCTGTATGTGTGTCCAGGACTTTGGATTTGCTTGCTATGCTTATTTTAGAATTTTTGAAATGAGCTGTTTTAAGTAGGAAACTTTACAGCCCCCGAGCACAGGTAAGAGAAGTGACCTTCCATTTATATGGTGTCCTCTGTCCAAGGATTTTAATCTGTAGGTCATCAAAGGATAAGGATATTCATCCTCAACACATTCAGCATTGCTTCTGGTGCGTTCATAGCTATCCCGTATCGTATGCGTCGAACTTAAAGTATTCACTTAGAATCCAGTTACGCTTTTTGATAATTGGTACATACTTCAGCCTTGGTGCTGTGTTGCAGGTATTCAGAAGTGCTTTTCAGCTGTTACGGTTACTCCTTTTAGACTACTTTGCTGTACTTAAAGGAAATGTTCATTCGTTCATTTTGTAAATATTAACTCCCTACATGTGGCAGACATTGAAGCCAGTGATAGGGACCTGGTGGTCAGAGACAGGCCAGGCCCTCAAACCCACAGGGCTTTTAGATTAGTGACAGCTAAGCTTATGTGTGAAGTCAATTTGGTGACTGTTTTGCTGGCATGTACCATTTTTTTCGAAGTAAAATGTGGGTTTAATTTCAGACATTAAGTATATTTTCTCATAGTTGTAACAGCATGTATCATTTTAAGAAATCTTAGCTCTTTAACTATAACCAGTAATGAGCATATATTAAATCTGATTAAATGGAATAGAAGGAAGAGAAATTACAGACATATATTTACCACTCCTATTCATAAATAAAGATAATCACCAGAAATATGGCTGTATTTTTATCTAGAAGCTTTCCATAATTCTGAGCACTTTTTTTTTTTTTTTTTTGCGTTACGCGGGCCTTTTACTGCTGTGGCCTCTCCCGTTGCGGAGCACAGGCTCCGGACGCGCAGGCTCAGCGGCCATGGCTCACGGGCCCAGCCGCTCCGCCGCATGTGGGATCTTCCCGGGCCAGGGTACGAACCCGTGTCCCCTGCATCGGCAGGCGGAGTCCCAACCACTGCGCCACCAGGGAAGCCCTCTGAGCACTTTTTACTTTAGATTTTTACATTGCTCCTCATCATTTTAATCAATCAGTTAAAAAGGAAATATTTTTCTGACCTTTGACATGTGATAGATATTTATTTGAATTCAAGAAATGAAATTCTCTGTAATGGAAAATATCTGGAGGATTTATTTCTTTGGCTGAAAATTTTGTCAGTTAGAAACTTTTCGCTCTACATGTTATGTATTCCCTTCACATATCAAAATATTATTTTAAATTGGCTTCATTACTTTCTGACTCTATTCTGATGAGTTGTATGTTTGTGTTAAGAAATTTAGGTTTATTAATTTTTCTGATTATTTATATGTTGATGTCTTAGGCCTTTAATTTTATTTTGGATTAAATTTACAAAAATAAAATGCCCATACAGTATAGACTGGAATGGTTCTGGGGCGGGAGGAGGGTCGTCTGTAAGTATTTTTATTTTATTTGAAATGTTTTACTTTCCCATTTGTTATTTCACTTCCTTCTGCATATCAAGTAATTTTATTTGAAATACAGTTTTACTTACGATGAAAAGAATTTAAAAAATTTTGATAACAATACAAGATTGATTTTTTTCACTGAAATTTTTATTGAGATAATTGTAGACTCACATGCAGCTGTTAGAAATGATACAGAAAGGTCTGTTGTTTGCATTGCCTAATTTCCCCTGGGGGTTGTATTTTGCAAAGCTGTGGTATGTGCTCACAGCAGGATATTGACATTGATATAATGCGCTGATCCTTACTCAGATATCCCCGGTTTTACCTGAACTAACCCTGTGTGTAAGGAAATCAGATTTTATTCTTAGAAAACTACTGAAATACTACAATTAGATCTGTGACCCGGGGGTGGGGGTGAGGGAACCATTTAGCCTCTTGCGCCTCAGATTTCTTACTAAGTCAGACGGTTTGATTGGATGATCTCTAGAATCCTTTGGGTCACAACATTCTATAATTTTTGTATGAGAGTATTTTAGAATTTGAAATTATAACCTTTATCTTTTCTCTCTTTTTTGTGTTTAGGAAGAAAAGGCTTCTCTTTTACATCGGACTCAGGAAGAAAGAAGAAAGAGGGAGGTAAGAACAGCTTTGTAATAGTCCCTGTAGATAAACATTTTCCACGGCATCTAAATAAGTCTTGGTTTTCCTGTTTTATATATTAGATATATGTATGTTATATGTGACATAACCTAAGTATTTATATACATGTTAAATTTCAGAAACATTTCTGGATTTGTTGGATTTTATGGTAGGTCATCTATTCTGGAACCAATATAGAAAAGATGGACTAAAAGAGCAGTTTCCAGAATAGAGGGAGAAAATAGGCTTTCAGTTCACTTACTTGCTTATGATACGGCTTCCAGAAGATGTAGAAAGTCTTCGTGTATAGTGTTCATGTTTTGTCAAGCAGAAGGAGAAAACTCCCTGTCAAGGCAAGTTATCTCAACTACTTGTGAAGAAGCTGAATAAATGAAAGGAGCTATAGTGACGTTTGGCATTTTAGTCTTTATTTTACATTTTATCTTTCGGAGGTAATTTCTTAAAATGGCTTTAGTTTGTTGATGAATCAGCAGTTGTGGTGTCCTATGGCCTGCTTTTCTAGGTCATTTTTTGTTTTGTTTTGTAATAATTCATCCATTCCTTTAACAAATATAAATTGAGAGCTTGCTATGTTCCCGGTACTTTTCTGCTGGCTGGGTATATAGACAGGGAATGAAACAGTGTGTCTGCTGCTGGGCGGTGGAGCACAGGTGTTCCCCAGGATCCGGAGGTGGGGACTTGGAAGGTCGGCTTTGGATGTAGGGTGTGAGGGAAGGCGTCCCTGAGCTGGTGAGAGCCCAGCGGATTTCTGAAGGATGGAAAAGAAAAGCTGTGCAAAGCTGGACGAAGGGCGCGTTCTTGGTCAAGGGAACGGCAGATGCTGTGCAAAGCTGGACGAAGGGCGCGTTCTTGGTCAAGGGAACGGCAGATGCGCAAACGCTCAGGCAGGGTTTCTCAACCTTAGCATTTTTGACATTCTGGCCAGCTCATTCCTTGTTGTGGGGACTGTCCTGCACACTGCAGGATGCTTAGCAGCATCCCCGGCCTCTCTCCTCTAGATGCCGAAACACTCCCTATCGCAGCTGAGACAACCACGATGTCTCCAGAAATTACCGAACGTTCCCTTGGTGGGAGTTGCCCTCACTTGAAAATCACTGCTCAAACAGGAAAAGTGTGTATTGGTTGGTGTATTCCATCTTTTCTGGAAAGTTCTCAGCCAGCCACCTCTCCCAGTCATGCCTCTGCTCCGTCCTCGCCCTCCTCCTCCTCTTGGACTCACATGGCAGAGGTGTTCGACCTTTGTATTGTGTCCCGTGTGTCTCCTGTACTCCTTTCGGTATATTTATTCTTTTGAATACCTATGCTTTGCTTTGGCTATATTCTTTTGTTCTAACTTCTGATTTACAAATTATCTCTTTTAGTGATGTCTGATTGTTAAGTACATCCATTGAGTTCTGAATTTCAGTTTTTATTTGAGTTCTAGAATTTTCTTTGATTCTTTTATTTCCCAGTTCTCTCGACTTTTCATTTCTTGCACGTAATTGTAGATTTTTAAAGATAATGTTTCCTCTCCAGTGTTTGGAATTCCTGTGGGTTCATTTTTATTGTTGGTCCTCCTGATTTTAAATTCTTGTCTTTGCCTGGTTATTTTGGTTGAATACCGGACATTGTATGTTCCAGGCTGAAGCGATATCTTCAGGCTTAGAATATGGCCTCTTCTTTTTGGAGAGCGTTGCATTTGCTTCTGGCAGGCAGTGGGGGAGGGATGAATCCCCTTTAAAACAGGGATGAGCTAATGTGAAGCTGGCCTCCAGGCCTCGTGAGGACTCACTCACCTGTCCTCAGCGCACCTGCCAGAGAGCGAGTGCTCCTGAGACCCTTCCCCAGCAGACAGCTGAATGAGTAAAAATAAGTGTTTTGAAAATGCATGGGATGTTATATGAGTGTTTAATTAAGTGCTGTTAGAGTCATCATAGTTATCAATAGATTCCCAAACTAGGTCTAAGGTCAAGGATTCCCTTGTTGTAACCATTTGAAGCTCAGAAAGTACACTTTTGTGACCTGATGGTATGTTCTCTAATCCCAAGATTGCATGAGTATGTGCCTTTCAAGCCTGGTAGGTGGCATTCATAGAAGATGTGAAACATTGTCATGTGATAAGACAGAGTACAGATTTTCGTATCACACCTGAGTTTGCTCTCTGAATCATATCTTTTGACATCACTTAATCTTTATGGAAGTCTCGGTTTCTGTGTCTTTAAAACAGCAGTAATGCTCACCTGTAAGGTTATTGTATGAATGCATGTGAAGTGTCTCTCTTAGGGCTGGCACATAGTAGGCTCTCAAACACTGTTAGCTGCGGTGGTTATAATGATGATGAAGAATATATATTTTTGCTAGGTCACTGAAAGGTTTTTTTTTCTTAACATCTTTATTGGAGTATAATTTCTCTACAATGGTGTGTTAGTTTCTGCTTTATAACAAAGTGAGTCAGCCATACATATACATATATCCCCATATCTCCTTCCTCTTGCATCTCCCTCCCACCCTCCCTATCCTACCCCTGAAAGTTTTAAAGACAGAGTCGAGTTGATAAAAATTGGAGTTTTCTGCTTGGAAACAAAGTGACCCTTAAAATAGATGCTTCTGTTGTCTGTATTTTTTTTAAATACTTAAAACAAAAACTTAAAAAAAAGAAGTCTTTCTATGCTGGTAGAATTGTAAAATAATGTAGCTGTTTTGGAAAACAGTCCAGCAGTTCCTCAAATGTTAATTCCATACCTAGATATACACCCATGAGAAATGAAAACCTATGGCCCCACAAAAGCTGGTACATGAATGTCCACAGCAGCATTATTCATAATAGCCCAAAGTGGAAAGAGCTCAAATGTGCATCCGTTAATAAGCGGATAAACAAAATGAGACATCCGTATAGTGGAACAGCCATAAAAAGGAGTGATGTACTGATACATGGTACAGCGTGGATGAACCTTGAAAACATCATGCCAAGTGAAAAAAGTCAGACACAAAAGGCCACATATTATGATTCCATTGTACATCATGTCCAGAATAGGCAGTTCCATATAGACAGAAAATTGATTAGTGATTGCCAGCAGTGGGGGGGTTGGGGTGGGAGGACAGAGAATGAGGGATGACTGGGTAAAACCCCTGGGTACAGGGGTTTTATTGGGGGTGGGTGATGAAAATGTTCCAAAATTAGACAGTGGTGATGATTGCACAACTTTGAGTATATTAAAAATTGGTGAATGGTACACTTAAAAGAATGAATTCTGTGGTACGTGAATTATGTAGCTGTTTTTTTTTTTTTTTTTTAAGTCTGAAGTAGTATTTGTCATTTTCACTGATCCTGACCCATTGTTCCCTCCTCCCTGCATTATTCAGGAAGAAAGACGAAGATTGAAAAATGCAATAATTATCCAGTCATTTATTCGAGGCTATAGAGACAGAAAACAGCAAGTAAGTTTGTTTTTAAACTGAGAAGGAATTAGAAAGGTATGAGAGAGCTTATTTTATTTATTTTTATTTTTTAATTAATTGATTGATTGATTGGCTGCGTTGGGTCTTCCATTGCTGTGCTCAGGGTTTCTCTAGTTGCCGCGAGCGAGGGCTACTCTTCGTTGTGGTGCAAGGGCTTCTCTGCGGTGGCTTCTCTTGTTGCGGAGCATGGGCTCTAGGCGCACAGGCTTCAGTAGTTGTGGCACGTGGGCTCAGTAGTTGGGGCTTGAAGGCTCTAGAGCGCAGGCTCAGTAGTTGTGGCACACGGGCTTAGTTGCACCGCAGCATGTGGGATCTTCCCGGACCAGGGCTCGAACCCTTGTCCCCTGCGTTGGCAGGCGGATTCTTAACCACTGCGCCACCAGGGAAGCCCTGAGAGCTCATTTTAAATATGGCCTTGGATTCTTAGAAGTGGAATTCATTTCATATATGTTTGTGGTACTTGTTTAATGAGAGTTAATGTGGGTAATACTGTTTTCCCCAATAGTTAATTTTATTAGTTTATATAAAGATTTATAGACAGATGAGTTTTTTGGTGATTTTTAAATTATTAAATGCAAACATAGGCCAAACCACGGCTAAAGATCACAGTAGAAGGAGGTGATGGAAGACTCCTGCATAGGGCGTTCATGGCTGTGTCACTACATTCCAGGCTTTTCAGGTTCCATTAACCGTTTACCAATGATAACTTCTCAGTAACGGGATCTTAATTGTCAGTTTCCACTACTCCAGTTTAAACATTGAGTGACCATTTAGACCATACGATCATGTGATCCTGTCTTTATGTCTTGTTTTGTTTTCAGTATTCCATCCAGAGAAGTGCATTTGATCGCCGGGCCAGCTTGTCCCAGTCCGGTGGCACTTTTTCCATCGCCAGCGGTCCCACCCTTACCCTTTTGGTGAGGCAGCTTCTGTTTTTTTACAAACAGAATGAAGACTCAAAACGCTTGGTGAGTGTTGACTATATTTTCACTAACCCTTGTTAACGTGTTTTCCAGCTTTTGGTTTAATGGGATCAGAAACCCCTCCAGCACGTCTCACCCTTGTGACTTCCTCAGCCAGCGGTGATAGGTCGTCTTGGTGATAATGTTTTACCTCTTAAAAATCGATACAGATTTTCCGTAGGCTTTTTCATGCTTTTATTAAGGCAAATTTCACATATAAGAAACAGTAGGCTACTCAGTTGTGCTGCCCCCGTTACCCAGTCCGCACAGGCAGCACCTTGTTTTGCACAGAACCCTCCACCCTGTGCCTCCATCCCTGGGACGTGCATCCTCAGTATCATAGCCTGTTTGTTACCTGTAAATACTGAAATGTAAATCTCTGAATTCTAGGGTCTCTCTCTTGAAACATCTAAAATATAATTGTGTAACTTAAAAAAGGTTATAGGTTTTGATATTATCAGTGATGAGGACCGGTGTGTGTTAACGGAGGAGATAGGTGGATGAATCATCTTTATAAAATGGAACTTGTTACTGTGTCCACTTTCCCAGGAAATACTGAGATTCATTGGGTTAAGTACGTATTTGTTCTTAGACATCCTTATTTACCTGGATTAAAAATTTCTAATTAAAACATGGGTATTCAGTGAAAAGTAAGTCTTCCATGCTCCAACCGTACGTACTAGAAGGATCCTTGTGTGGACTGTAAGTATAGAAGACATAGGAATACTTTATCGCTTATCTGGTGTTCGGCTTTAACACCCAACGTTGCTTCCTGTATTGAGCTGGGCTGGACCATGGGAAGAACTTTCCATAAATCTTTAGAGGCAGTAAAGATGGCTTTCCTTAAATGCAGGCTCTTTTTGAAATTAATTAATTAATTAATTAAATTTACTTATTTTGGCTGCATTGGGTCTTCGTTGCTGCGCACAGGCTTTTTCTAGTTGCGGCGAGCAGGGGCTGCTCTTCTTTGTGGTGCGCGGGCTTCTCACTGCAGTGGCTTCTCTTGCTGCGGAGCGCGGGCTCAGTAGTCGTGGCGCGCGGGCTTAGCTGCCCCGCGGCGTGTGGGATCTTCCCGGACCGGGGCTCGAGCCCGTGCCCTAAAGGCAGAGGCTCTCTAGGCTTTTCTCCCTGAAGCCTGTGGGAAGAAGGGCGAGACACGTCTGGCAGCAGGTCATCTGGCTCCTCCGTCCGGAGCAGCCTGTTCCTTCCTCATGGGCTCTGACCTTGCGGATGGAAGGTCAGACGTGGAGCACAGCCATATGGGCGTCAGAAGGGCCTTCAGCCCTGCGTCTCTCCAGAGCGCCCGCCCTGTGGAGAGCCGCTTCTGCCCCACTCTGCGGTCTGGTCAGCGGTCCCTGCATATGCTTTCTGGATGTGGTGCAGCCACCCAGCCCTACAGGCCCTGTGTAGGGTTGGAGTTAACCAGATCCTCAAACCCGGTGTATATGAGAAAAGCAAACTGGATTGCTTATTCAGTTTGCACAGGAAAATGCAAGAACAATAACTCAGTCATATGTGGAGGGAAAGTCTCCTGCCCATCTTCAAGGACCCTAATTCCTACTTTAAGAGCAGGCGTGATGCCACTTTTGATAGTTTTTCTAAGGTGCTCTGTGCAAAAGTGTGCACATATGGCTCTCCCTTCCTCACCCACCCCCTTGAATTATTTTTTATTATAATGACTGTAAATATGGTCGCTGCTAAAACAGTGTACCATGATTGTATTTTCTTTTGTGTACAGTTTTCTTGAGTTACTCTGGAGTGAATTGTTGTGTCATTTGTTTAATTACCTTTGAGTCTCTTTATGATAAAGTCTTCTCCTACCTCCTGACAGTAAGATAATTCTCAGTACAGTTTTCCGTGACTAGAGGGTCAGCTCACTGGTGCTCTGCCCCCCGAGCTGTTCCTTCTGCGTCCCGGGAACTTGCCGCACAGTTTGGAGTGGTTGCTCTCCACGCCTGCCATGTTCCTGGGAAAACCTCCACTTTGCTTTGCTTCTGTTTCAGTTCCTCTTTCCTGATTCCATATCTTTTTGCTTTCTTGGTTTACTCCCTTGTTTTATTGATGTACAGCCTCAGTTAACTTCCTGAGAAAGGATGGATAAAATGGAAAGTTTTTGAAACTGTACTTATCTGAATTTAGTAAATAACAAAAAGTTAGGCAAAGCAGATGTTTAATGTATTAGAACTTTTGGGATGATATTGGTGCATTTGTCAAGAATGTAAAAAGCAGTATCAAAATCCAGTCCACTACAAGGAGATATTGTACAGCACAGGGAATGTAGCCAATATTTTATAATAACTATAAATGGAGGATAACCTTTAAAAATTGTGAATCACTGTGTTGTACACCCGAAGCATATAATGTTGTACGTCAACTGTACCTCAATTAAAAAAAAAAAAACAGTCCAGAAAGTGTTCAAATAAAGTGCTTTGAGGTTGTTTTTTATGTCGTTGAAACATAATTACTTGATTAATGTATTTACAGCCTTATTCTTGTGCTTCCTACAGTTGGCCTTCAGATTTTTATAATGTTTAGTTACTGTACATCCTAGTTTTATTTGTTAATGGGTATTCAATACAAATTTTAGAATGAACTGCATGTCAGATAGTGCAGAAAATATTTGTATGATATTGGTTCCTGAGAAAATACGAACAAGTAGCTCCTAATACCTCAAGAAGAAAGCTTGTGTGTAGGTAAATTAACATTCGGATTGGGTCTCAGAGTTATTTCCACCCAACTTAGGACGCACTCGAATTTATCATGCAAGACACATGTGTTAGTACTTTAATTGTTTGATAACATTTTATATCAAATAAATGTTACTCTCAGAGGAGAAACTCTGTAAAAATGACAGGTAAAGAAAAGGTTCTGTGGCGCATTTAAGAAGCTGTCTTAATCTTAACGCTTTTAAATGGGTCTCATGAAATGAACAAATATCGTAGAGGAGGTATAAGAGATTCCTGTTTGGTATTTTGTGTTTTCAAAATCACTTCTGGCAGCTATACACTAGAGGGCCTCCTGGATGGGAGCTCGACAGAAATCTAACTCAGCATTTGCCCACCGCGATGGCCCGTCACCGTGTCTGGGACAGCGGGGGTTCTGGTCATCCAGACGCGTCTCTGTCCTTTTTTCCCTCCAGCTGTGTGGACGTATAATTGACAAATAAAATTGTAAGATACTTCAGGTGCACACTGCGATGGTTTGTATAAACATTGTGATAGGATTCCTCCTGTCTAGTTAAGTGACCCATCTCTCGCCTCACATGCTACACACCTGGCCTTTTATCGGGAATAGTGGGACTGAATGATTGCCTTTTCTACCGAAATTTCATGGAGTTAGGGAAGGAGAGTATCCACAGGAAAGGTGCTGAAAACTCAGAGGAGAAAGGTAAGAAGAAGGAGCTGTTACCCTTTGTAACTTACGATTAAGATTGTGATTCTCATATGTTTTTATTGTGGTTTGCTGATTTTTGCAAATGAACTTTTTGTTTCACATTTACATGAGTTTTAAGTACATTTGGTAATAAATTTAGTAATTTAACTTCATGCTGATGTGCTTTCTTAAGATGGAAAGTTCAGGACGTGTGTGCACTACTATCTAAAACCTGACTTAGAAGATTTACTTCTTCTTATCATGTTTTGATTATGTATTTACCAATTAAGGAAATTTTGGTATGTTTGTAATTAGTAAATAATTAGCTTTTTATGGACTGAGAGTTATAATTGTATGTTTTGCTGTTTCTTTCAGATATGGATGTATCAGAACCTAATTAAATATAGCTCTTTGTTTGTCCAGCAGTTGGATGGATCTGAGAGACTTACGTGCTTATTTCAAATAAAGAGGTTGATGAGCCTCTGTTGCAGGTAAACCCATCGTTGTCAGCAACTTGTGCAATGTGGTGGTCACTTTGTCTAGAGGAATATACCCTTTGGTTTTCAGTGTCTGTGACAGTGGTTTTCCCTTTTTTTTCTTTTTGAGACTGGAATGTTCTGTGTATTACAGTTTTCACTCCTGTGATTCTTCTCCCTGTAGAAATTACAATGTAGATATAAATACCTTCCAGATGATGTTTTCTTTCAGGTAGGCTCTGGAATTACCTTGTGAGATATCAGGGGTCCTGGTTGCTAGCGAGTGGATGGGCCACCTGAAAGGACTCCTGCTGTGAGGAGGCTCCCATTGTCCTAGGGTCGCCACCCTCGGGTACAGGCTCTTTAGAGCAGGCCTTTCATCAGGCTCTTGTGATTTACGTATGGACTTGAAATAAGTCACTTTCATGACTTTGCTGGATTCAGTTTATAAAGCACATTTAGGTGATGTGAGCAGTAGTACCTGAATGAGAAAACAAATTAACATCTTCACTGTTTTTCTCAAAATAGCTGGTATCTGCACAGTGGCAAACTTTCAAATGATTCTGAGCCTTTAATATAATATCAGCTAATTTTCTGGAAGTTGCGTATAGTAAGGTTTATTTAGGATTGCTGTCAGAGCTAGGCCTTGTTAACTTCCAGAATCCTGAGCTGGACTAAAGGTAGAGAAGAACCTTTATGAACAGAGAGAGTCTGGAAGATCACCAGTCCCAAGAAATCTTATTTTTTTCAAACCCCTTTTATTTCTTGGAAAAACTTTTACTTTGAAAAACACATTGTACGCATGGATTCGCTGGAGTGGGAGTCAGCAAACGTTTTCTGTAAACACCCAGATGGCATGAAGTGTGGCCTCTCTTACGCATACTGTGTTTTTTCTTACAAGCTTTTAAAGGTGTCAGGAGCACCCTTCACCCGAGAGCCACACAGCCTGTGGCTGGTTCCGCGCACGGGTTGTAGTTTGTGGACACTTAATGTCCTTTCGAAGGTATTCATTTAGCAAGTAATTTTAATAGATGATAAATCCAAATGTAATTTCTCCTTGTTTTCCCCAACTTTCTGTTTTGGAAAATTTCTAACACCAGTAAAGTTGAAAGAATACCATATATCCTCCACCTAGATTCAAAAGTTACCATTTTGCCACATTTGCTTTCTCTCTCTCTCCACACGTACAGTGTGTTGTTTTTCTAAAGCACGTAAAAGTAAGTTGCAGACATCATGACGCTTCCCCCGATTCACTGTGCTTCTCCTGAGAAAGCACACTCTCTGATAACTGTAAAGCTATGCTCACGTCTAAGAAAATGAGTAGTAATTCTCTTAGTATCATGTGGTATACACACTCCATGTTCAGATTTCCCCAGTGATCTCAAAAATGTCTTCTCTGTTTTGATGGTCCGAGGCTCCGTTTGTTTCACTCACTCCTCTGTCTCCTCTTCCCTTTACACTGGCCGTTGGTTCTAGGGGAGGGTTTCCAGCCACGTCCTCTTCACGTTGGGGGCTGAACCACTCTTTGTTGTGCACGTGGTCCTGTGCGTTGTAGGGTGTTCAGCAG